AGGGTGGGAGGGAGGAGCAGTTTGCTGTAAGGCAATCACCTGTCAAAACAGATACTGGGTGGGAAAGGAACCTTTATCTTGGGAGCAAAAGTTAACTTAAACTTGACCCCTGCTGTTTTGTAACAGCTTTTCCTTTTGGTCCCTGACAGTCATCCAGGCTTTATGTTATGTCAAAGGATTATTTTTGTACTCCCTTTTTTGTACAACTCAGAAAAGTTGAAGGCATCATCCTAGGTCTAACATTTTTTGTGTTTGGGAATTATGGTTCTTAGGTTGAACAATCTCATGTTGTCAACTGTTGATAGACTTCATTGAATCCCGTTTTAGGAAAAGGTCTGTTTGGGGTTAGAATTCTTTAAGTGTATGAGGCTTTATGCTCCCTGATTAGTTAACCATTCCTATAGGTGGGAACCCTAAAATGCCTAATCTATTTGAACTGCTCAGGTAGTTTTGTAAATGTTTTCACCAGCATGTGATTGCGCCCCTTTAAAATATCCAGTATTTCTCAGGTGGCAGAGTGAGAGAACACCTGATGCAGCAGCTGGTGTTGACAATATATGCAAAATGCCTGTACCTTAACTGTCATAAAAGAACGTATTTATTTTTCACAGCATCTGCAATATGAAGGAAACAAAGATCTGATTTGGAGATCACCACTCTTAGTTAAAATGATACCAAACATTTGTCACAGCGTCTACTTAATTGGGAAAAGTTTGCTAACAGGACATTTGTCCTTGTGAAAAAATGTCAGATTTTTAAATGCTATTAATAGAAGTGGTATTCTTGATTATATTTTACTTAGCCTACTAAGAATAATTGGATACATTTAATTGAACATAGTGCTAGTTCTAGAAGATACATTTGATCTGATAACAAACCGTAGGGATTTTGATATTCTGAGAAGGCTTTAGGGATCACCTAGTCCAGAGGTTCTCAAACTTGCCCGTGTACTTAAATTACCTAGAGGTTAAAACAGGTATTAGTTGCTTGTTCAGTACGTCTGGATACGATCTCATAATTTTTCTAACAAGTTTCCAGATGATGGTGATAGTCCAGCGACCGCCCTTGAGATCCAAGGATCTAATCCAAACTCCAGATGAGTACTATAGGGACAGCCACCTAGTTATTTAGGGACACAGACTTAAGACCCATGCCATACATTTTAGAGTGCTCCCTACCACAGAGTCATAGGATATGTCGACTGAAAATCTATAGCTGAGACGACATAGCCCCTTCACACTAAGCCTGTTAAACTGTTGAGTGTGAAATGGGATAAACACTTTGCAGGTAGAAGGACCCGTTTTACATTTGGGCAATGGCTTTCAGTGTTAATTCACCAGTTGACCAAAATGAGAAAAATGATTAGATCAGGGCATGGCCTACATACTCAGAATCAACATTCCCCCTCCCCCTGCCCCGCCTTTTTTTAAAGAATATCTGATAAAGGAATACTTTTAAGTATTTGTCTTTTCTCTACTTCAAGATTAAAAGGCAAGAATTTAAATTCTTCCCACTAAAGATTCTAAAAACAAAATTATACCTGAGTGTTTAAATCTTCTGGTCATTGTAAGCACGTGTGTCTATATGTAAATGTGTGTATATGGAAATATGTACACTCAGTTTCTTAGCCAGACTTTCCAGGAATTAGTCAATTTAGTGTCATGTAGTTCTACAGTTCTCCATTCTGGGACAGTGCATAACATGAAACTGTGCTATGCATCTTTTGGAAGTATGAGTGCTGATCTGTTTTGTAAATTGGATGGGACAGCTATCTGTATTCTTCCAACAGCAGTCTCTGGGGAGACGTTTTTCTTAGATTAGCAGAGTAGAGAGTATGTGCTTTTTTTTGTCCAATTGACTAATCTTGCTATTTTTAAAATGAGTTACCTGGCAAAATTATGTGGGGCTAAGTTTATCAGAGGTTTGAAAACGTGTGGTTGGTTTATTTGTGGCAATTGTGCAAATGTAGCAAAAACATTTTTTAAATAGGAAAGAGGAAGACCATTGATGCGTTGAGAATACAGGTGCCCCCAAAGGGCCTGAGCTTGTTCCTTCAATATGGTTGTAGTGGAAATTGGTAAACGTAGCTAAAATTGATTCATCCATTATTCAAGAAGCATTTATTGAATGCTTTATACTGTGGTGTAAAGACTAATGCTTAAATGGGTGGGAACCAAGCAAAAGAGCAACAGCTTTGAACTTGTATCACCACAGGCTGTGAGAATAGCATATATTAACCAATAGGAGTATATGGAAAAGCAGAGCTACATATGCCGTCAGTTATAATATATAGTAATCCATGGGTCTGTCAGGCAAGCAGTACATTCATTGAAAATTGAAATTTTACTTTGAAAGATATTGTAAATAAAAATGGATCCCATGAGATTTAAGGAACTAATAGTTGTTTGGGTGCCTGTAGAACTCTAATTTTGTGCATAATTTCCAACTTCTCTTTTAAAATTAGGAAAGATTGAACATTTAGAAATAGGACATCAGTTTGCTTTCACGTTTTCATGTGAAAGGGAACAAGGGACAATGGAGGAAAGACATGAAATTTATTCACTGTCTTTTTTTTAATGAGGAAACAAGCAATGGGCGATTTAGGTTATATTCTTAAAGAAAGAAGCAGTTGTTGGCATATAGTCTTTTAGGGTTCGTCATGAAAAGAAGATTCAGGGTAGGGTATTTCTTTTATAAAAGGTAATGCTCTAAAAGTGAGTGTGCCAAAGAATTAAGCTGATGTTTTAAGTTTCCTAAGGTTATAGTTATTTTATACAAACGCTTGTTCTCACGCCTTTAGTGCTTATTGGATGGAAGAAGGCAACCAGCTCAGAGAAAGAAACATTGGGCATCAGCTGTGAGAGGTAACAATAATAGTGATTATTATAAAACCACATGAGTTGAAGGGAGTTATAATTATTAACCTGCAATTTGCAAAACAGTTTCTAGTGACTGTTTTGTATAGACTCTCATGAATTTAACAACATACTTTTTAAATGTTGAAAGTTACAGGATTATAGAGATAGTTCATCTGAAAGTACTTCATTGTTTATTCTTTTAAAAATCTGATTATTATAGAACCAATTAG